CCCCCGCCCCGTGAAGGCCCCGTGAAGGCCCCGTGAAGGCCCCGTGAAGGCCCCGTGAAGGTGGGAGGGGAAGAGTACCGAAAATTGGTCGGTCGGTGTTTGGGTCGGTCGGGTAATTTTTGATCGGTACGTGAGGAGGGGAATAAAATATTTGGAAAAGTAATGAGTAGTGTCGTGGAATCTGGTCCGGCGGTTGAGTACGTGGAGAAGATAGTGGAGGTGCCCGAGGTGGTCGTGCAGGAGCAGGTTAAGCATGTGCCGCGAGTGGAAGTACAAGAGTGCGTGGTGGAGGTGCCTCGGGTGGTGTACAAGGAGAAGGTGGTGGAGGTCCCGGAGATTGAGTACGTAGATGTCCCGGTGGAGCGTGTGGTCGAGGTGCCGGAGGTGCGCGAGGAAGTGGTGATTAAGGAGGTGCCAGTGCCGCAGTATGTGGAGAAGCCGGTGCCTGAGTACGTGACCGTCGAAGTTCCTCATGACGTCCATCGCAACGTACCCGTGCCCGTGGAGTCAGAGACGGTCTACGACCTTATCATGCCCAACCTAAAACCCGTCTACAAGACCGTCAAGGTCCCTATCTACGTGCCACGCTTCATCGAGGTTCCCATCCCGGCCGAACTTCTTGACCAATCCGCGGTCGCTGAAGCTGAACATCTCAGCAACCAAGTCAAGATCCTTACTGAACAGGAAGCACCTTCTCTTAAGGACGTCGAACGACTAGCCGAATACGCCAAGAACACCGACTTCCAGGCCCATCTCCGACCAGAGAACGTCGAGCAGACCATAGCCAATGCTTTTGAAACCGGGAACCTGTCACAGACCACATTGTAACTTTCGCCTTAGTTTTTTTGCGATTTAGATAGACTAGCAACCACAAGATATTCAACCACTCTCAACCTCTCAATTCAACCACTCTCTCAATATTTTAACAAGCCCGAAACGTAACAAGTGAAAAATCGAACCAAACGAAACGAAACGTAACAAGTGAACGAAACGAAAATCAACATATTGGGGGAAAGCAGAAAGGCAAGGAAGGAGCATGATTAGACGCTACTTTAAGTCGGTTGCCAACCTCGTGTCCGACGTCAAAAATGGCACCATGGACCACCAAGGTCAACGCCTCGCCGCGAAGCTGATGGCTGCCATCATCGCAGGCGGCGTCACAATCGCGTTAGCCGTTGGCACTGTTACAAGACGTTTTGAAGACATGGTCAAAATCGTCACCATATCCGCCATTGTCGCGCTCGTGGTAAACACACCTCCCGATCGTGATAAACCGACACACCTCCCGACTGACGGCAGCACCGCACAACTCCCATCTCACCTGGGCCGCAGACAACCTCAACTCTCTCACGATTACTGTGCCCTCCTGGCCCCCCATACTCGCACGAGTGATGCACAGCTTTCGTTCTCGAGATGAGTAAT